ATATTTTACAAATAGGATCACGTGATGCCCAGCTGTTTTGTAACCTGCTTTTTTTTCATTTAATCATATCTTAAACATTTTTATGTTATTAAGTATTACATTACTAAATTTCTGAGTACTTAGAATTACTGTTCTGTAGAAATCTTTCATTTTTTTAACCTATCTGCTCTTGTCTTACTTAGAATACTGAATATTGCCTAAGAATGTATATATCTCTCCTTGTAATGATTTTGGTTGATGTTTATACTGGAAAAATGTATGTTTACATCCTTAAAATTCAGTACAACATGAAAGATTTCACACAATGTGAAAAATCCCTTTGAGGTGTATAGAGTTGGAAATGAACCAGTTCTGTTCTATTATTTCTGAAGCTTCCTCTGACTTTTTAAAAAATTGTTCTTTCTCGCATCAACCACAGGCCAGAGTCTGAATTTTTATATAGTCAGAATATAGCTGAATTAGTATATTAGTTAGGACAGGCTGTTATGCTGTAGTAGCAAACAACCCCCAAATCTCAGTGGCTAACAGAATCACTTTTTATTAACTTGATCATGCTACACGTCTAATGTGCATGAGTGTAGGCAGGGTCCCAGACCAAAGCAGACTCCACCAATCTATAGCCGTACCATCTAACACATATACCCTTGGCCACCACATCAGGGAATACACTGGAGAATTGTGCAGTCTTGCCAGTGCCTCAGACTGAAGGGACACACATCACCTTAGCTCAGGTTCCATTGGCTAAAACCAGTTTATGGCCCTGCCTGACTGCAAAGGTCAGGAAAATGTCATCTATATGCCCCAAAGGAGAGGAAAACACGATAATGGTGAAACAGTAGTAATTCAGTTAATGTCTACCAGACGGGCTAAGACCCGTTTCTTTTTCTGTGTGTAGGAAGTTGCTTCTGTAAATTAAGTGTGATTTCTTTTTGGAGCAAGGAGGATATCCTGGATTGAGGGCTGACAAGAGGTCTGTGCACAGGTGAGTGAGGAGACTAAGGAAAATGGAAGATTTTCATGTGAAAGCTCACTTTCTCTGTGCAAAGTCAGGAGCTTTAAGTTACTGTTTGAGAACAAGCCCCCCAAAGGCTCTAGAACAAATGGAGGAAATAAAGCTCCTTCAGCATGTAAGTTCCCCAAAGCACCTCACTGTCATTCATGAATCACTCCATTCATATTTCCTTTTATAATTAACCCCCCCAATGAAGAGGAAGGTATACATTCTATTACTTATGATTATAAAACATATGCTTAAGGGAAAACTTCAAAATATAGAGAAAAAAAGATTCTTTTCGTAGATATACACCTAGAGACAAATGTTGAAAAATGTAATTGAAAATCCTTTCAGTCTATCTTATGTATACACACACATGCATATATAGAACATATGTATATTTTTCCTATAAAAATAGGATTACACTGGGGTGCCTGGGTGGCTCAGTCAGTTAAGCGGCTGCCTTCGGCTCAGATCATGATCCTGGGGTCCTGGGATCGCGCCCCACATCCGGCTCCCTGCTCAGCGGAGAGCCTGCTTCTCTCTCTCCCTCTGCCTACTTATGCTCTCTATCTCACTGTCAAATAAATAAATAAAATCTTTAAAAAAAAATAGGATTACACTATACATACTGTTTCATTAGTTACCTTATCCGCCCACTGTTGTTTGACATCTTTTTTTTATTATGTTAATCACCATACATTACATCATTAGTTTTTGATGTAGTGTTCCATGATTCATTGTTTGCGTATAACACCCGGTGCTCCATGCAGAACGTGCCCTCTTTAATACCCATCACCAGGCTAACCCATCCTCCTCTGCCCCCTAGAACCCTCAGTTTGTTTCTCAGAGTCCGTCGTCTTTCATGGTTCGTCTCCCCCTCCGATTTCCCCCCCTTCATTCTTCCTCTCCTGCTATCTTCTTCTTCTTTTTTTTTTAATTTTTATTTTTTTTCCGTTGTTTGACATCTTAACATCAACAAATATATGTGTTGTTCATTTTATGGCAACAGTGTTTCCATTGTGTTCATATACTGTAATTTATTTATTTAACCAATCCTCCTTTTAAGTTCTCTCCAAGTTGTTTCCATTGTCAGCAGTGTCTCCATCGTGCAGCCCCCACACGTCTTTTGGATAGTCTCAGCTATGGAATTGCTTCATCGGAAAACACACCTGGTTTAATTTCTGCTAACATTGCCTTGTTGGACGTTTGCAAAACTACAGCCCACTGTGTATGTGATGTGTAGTAGTAATCTCAAGTACTAAAGTCTAAAACAGAACTCATAATTGGTTTGTTGACAACTTCGTACTTTCAGTTACTCAAGCCAAACAGCTTAGTGTCATCATGGCTTCTTTTTTTTTTTTAATTTGCTTTTATACCTAAAATCAGCAAATCCTGCCAGCTCTCCCTTCAGAGAATATTTAATCTGGTCAGTTATCACCACCACCCTAGTACAAGCCCCCCTCACTCCTTGCCTGGATTATTGCAGTAACCTTCCACTTGTCTCCCTGCTTCCTCCCTTGTCTTCTTAGTTCACTTTCTGTGAGTGATCCTTTTCAGTGTAAATCAGATTATGCCATTCCTTGTCTTAAAACATTTTAGTGACTTCCTGTCTTACTCAAGAGTAAAAAACCAAAGTTCTTACAGTGGCGCACAAGCCCCATGTGATCCATCTTCCAGCTACGTCAGCTCACCCAAATGAGCTTCTGACCCTCTTTCTTTTGCACACTCCATTCCAGCCACCCTAGTCTTCTTTATTAATCAAAGAAAGCCTGCTTCTGCCTGGAGGCCTTTGCAATTGCTGTTCCCCATACTAGGAATGCACTCCTCTTAGATATCTGCATTTTTCACTCTATTCAGTCTGTGCTTACATATCACCTTCTCAATGAAAAGCCTTCTTCGGCCACCTTCATTCCCCCGAAGCTCCCTACTTAATTTTTCTCCACAGGACTTTGGCCATCTGACATAAAAATTGGAATATCAGTGTCAGTATATCAGTATTTGTTATTGTCTCTTTCCATTAGAATGTGAGTCCACTGGATTTATTATCTTCCTCACACCTAGAACCATGCCAATTGAGGTAGGAGCTCAGTAAATCTGAAAGAATTTTTGACTCCTCTCTCTTTCTTTTTTTTTTTTTAATGTTTTATTTATTCATGAGAGTCAGAGAGAGAGATAGAGAGAGGCAGCGGCAGAGGGAGAATCAGGCTCCCCGCTGAGCAGGGAGCCCGATGCGAGACTCGATCCCAGGACCCTGGGATCGTGACCTGAGCCGAAGGCAGACGCTTAACCATCTGAGCCACCCAGGCACCCCTCCTCCCTCTTTCTTTGCCTCCGTATCTGATCAGGTGCCAGAGCCTGTGGATTTTACTTCTCTTCATCTTGAAATTATACACTTCCTCCTTATTTCCACTCTAATTATCCTGGGTCAGGTTTTTTGCTTGCAAAAAAGTATAAGCACCTTTCAATTGATCTCTCTGAGGGGCGCCTGGGTGGCTCAGTTGGTTAAGCGACTGCCTTCGGCTCAGGTCATGATCCTGGAGTCCCGGGATCGAGTCCCGCATCGGGCTCCCTGCTCGGCAGGGAGCCTGCTTCTCCCTCTGACCCTCCCCCCTCTCATGTGCTCTCTGTCTCTCTCATTCTCTCTGTCTCAAATAAATAAAATCTTAAAAAAATAAATAAATAAATAAATTGATCTCTCTGACTCCAATTTTGCTTCTCTCCAATAAAAGAATCTGGCCATATTGGCCCTATAACTTCCCTCTGTAAATTCTTCAGTGGCCTTCCATTCCTTACTGGGTGAAAAACAAACATTTATATTTAAGTTAGTATTCATTGGGCCCTTCTCCAGACACCATGGCAAGTGCCAGTCACAGTCATGATGAGACCTGGTCTTTGCCCTCATTATTATCTTATTTCATTCATTCGCCTTCATTTTCCAACCCCTGATATCACCTCCAGCATTATCTTCCTCTAGATTCTAGAACTAATTAAATTTAAATTTAATTTAAAATTCAGGAAAAAATCGTACTAGGCACTTTTTAATTGCTTAGTGCATGTGGCTGATGGCTATATTATTGATGGTACAGATACAGAGATTTCCATTATCGCAGAAAGATTTGTTGGACAGCACTGGTCTAGACCTTTCCCCAAACTGTACAAGTCATTCCAAATTATTCTCTCCTCCACAAATACACCATATACTTTTGGTCCACTGTTTTTGTCACTGCTCTTCATCGATCAGAATACTCTTCTGTACCTTTTCTGCCTAATAAAATAATCTGATGTTTAAGTCCCAGTTCATATTCTACAACTTATAGGGCATTTTCCTTGACACCACTGCCATTGAGTAAGTTAGTCTTCCTTCTGACCCACCCACCCAAAAACCATAGGAAGCTTCTTGCACCTCTGATTAGAACCAGCCTTACCACCCTCCTTAAAACCCCTGAGTTCTCATTACTCTGAGGCGATTTTCCACAGAACTCCAGCCTTAGCAAACACCAGCCAGTGAGGAAGTGATGTTCTGCAGGAAAGGAGGAGGGGAGGCTTAGATTGAAAATTAGGAGTGCTGGCCCAAGAGGCTTCTAGAAATTGAGTTCCCATTCAAGTCAATACTCTGGATATGCAGATATGCTTGTAAGATACCTATTTACTGTGATTTTCTTGCTCCTGTCTGGTGAGTCCAGCCAGGGTTGGAGTCTCTGTTGAAGCCTCTGGTGTAGGTGGTATTCCTTTCTGGACTTAGAAGAAGGAAGTAGGGGCACCTGGGTGGCTCAGTCAATTGAGCATCTGCCTTCAGCTCAAGTCATGATCCCAGGGTCCTAGGATCCAGTCCCACATTAGGCTCCCTGCTCAGCAGGGAGTCTGCTTCTCCTTCTGCCCCTGCTGCTCCCCCTGCTTGTGCACTGTCTCTCTCTCTGTGTCAAATAAATAAAATCTTAAAAAAAAAAAAAAGGAGGAAGTAGATTCAGGGAAGTACCCAGGAGGTTTTGCCTGTTGAGCCCAGAGTAGCTGGAAGACTTTGTTTAGGGATATCTTTTTCTCAGGGTTTGACCTCCACAGGTATGCTATGCTGCTATGCTCCTAGCCTGTGGGTACTGTCCTCAGCCTTAGCGGGTAAAGTGAGCAAGTCTGAGTTTTGATCGTCCTTGCAGCAGTTGCAGAGGAAGATCAGCTTGGAATAGGTGGGAGCCATCTAGGCCCCATACAGAGTATAAACTAGCATCAGCAAGTTGGAGAACTGTTCAGGCTGGAATCCCTCCTGCCGAGGCGGTTAGATTCTATGTGAGTGCTGGAACCTATCTTTGTTGACTATCTTTTAGTTTCCCTAGAATTGCAGAAGGGGCTGGGTTTTGTTAACTCTTTAGTTATTGATATGAGTGTTGGGTGGTGGGACAAGGGGGAGGGCAAGGGAAGCAAAGCAGGGACATTGGGTACAGTTATTTTAAGGTCCTCTATTTAGGAGTGCTCAGGCAAGCTCAGTTTATGAGAGATTTCCCCTTTTTCCCCCCCTACTCTGCTTTTTTAGGACTCTGCATTTGTCCAAGAGAAGAATCTAAAGAAATCAGAGCAGCTCAGGTAGTTCTAAAAGCCATGGCACAGGTAAGTTGAATTTCCTCTATACTTGAAATAATCTCTCTTCCTTTCAAATCATATGAACAGGTGTGTTCTTCATCCTGAAACTTCCCTGTCTCACTGAGCCCCATTCTTGCTCCCAGTTCCTTCATTCCAGAGATGAGTGGCTCTCTCTTCTCCAACAGTATAGACATAGACACACAGTGCTCTCACCAGTGGAGCAGAAATATATTTTTTAAGAGAAATATGAGAGCCCCCCCTTATCAGAACCATGGTTGAGTGGGGCCAGAGATGAGATAACTTTGATCTCTTCCATTAATCTAGGTGGTTTCTGTTCTTCTATTTTTAAATGTTACTCCCTCGTTAAAAATCATAAAACATTTCATACTACCAAAGAATATATAAAAAAAATTATAGGGGCGCCTGGGTGGCTCAGTCGTTAAGCGTCTGCCTTCTGCTCAGGTCATGATCCCAGGGTCCTGGGATCGAGCCCCACATCGGGCTCCCTGCTCTGCAGGAAGCCTGCTTCTCCCTTTCCCACTCCCCCTGCTTGTGTTCTCTCTCTCACTGTGTCTCTCTCTGTCAAATAAATAAATAAAATATTTTTTAAAACATATCTATAACATGTATATGGTGTAAAAAATAATAAAGTATCAATGTACTCATTACCCAGATTAATATCCCATCTGAGCAGCCTGCATTCCCTTCCCAGATCATATCCCAACCCACATTGCATTACTGTTCCCACCAATGGTAATCACTGCTTTCAATTTTGTGTCAATCAGTCCTTTGATTTTTTATAATAGTTTTACCATGAATGAATGCTACTAAGCAATATACTATCAAGTTTTTTGTTTTTATATTTTTGTACAGTTATCATACTCTATATTTTTTACCAGATTTTTTCATTCAACACGTGTTTACAAATCATTCATGTTAAGTTGTATAGCACTAGATTAGCAGTTCTCAAAGCATGGTCCAGGAAGACTTTGACATCCTTTCAGGAGTTAATACTAAAATGTTACTTGCCTTTTTCAGTCACATTCTCCAATGAGTGTACAGTGTAGTTTCCTAGAAGCTATATAATATGTGTTATCCCAACAGATTGAATGTAGAAGTAGATGTGAAAATCCAACTTTTTATTCAGCCAGTCATAAAAGAGATTGCAAAAATATAAAAGCTATTAAATTTTTTGACAATAGTTATTTTTCTTAAAAAGTATATTACTTAACATGTAACAGGTTTATTGGTTATTTTAATAAATTAATTAGTATTTTTAAATCTCTCACTTTTAATTTCTAATGTAACTATTGATAGATATACCCAGCATTAACAGTTCTTTGAGGTCCTCAAATTTTTTTAACAGCCCTATTGTATATATAATTTACATATGATGTTCACCCATGTAAGTGTAAAGTTCAGTGGTTTTTAGTATATTTATAGAGTTCTACAACCGTCAGCACAATCCATTTTAGAACATTTTCATTACCCCAAAAAGAAATCCCATTTGCATTAACAGTCTCTCTCAATGTCTCCTCCTTATCCACTGGCAACCACTCATTTACTGTCTGTCTCTGTGGGTTTGCCTATTCTGGACATTTCATATGAATAGAATCTTACAATATTTGCTCTTTCATGTCTGGCTTTTTTGACATAGTATGTTTTCAAGCTTCATCCATGTTGTAGCATTTATCAGTAGTTTATTTGTTTTTATACCAAATAATATTCCATGGATATGTATATTCCACATTTTATTCTTCAGTTCATCAGTTTATGGACATTTGGGTCATTTCTGCTTTTAGGCTATCACAAATAACACTACTGTGAACATTGGTGTGTACCAGGGTTTGGGGGTGGACATATGTTTCCATTTCTCTGTACCTACATAATTCTATGTTTAACGTTTGGAGAAACTGTCAAAACTGTTTTCCAAAGTAGCTGCCCCATTTTACATTCCTGCCAGCAATGTAAGAGGGTTCTGATTTCACTACATCCTCACCAACATGTGTTATTTTGGTTTTTTGGTAATAGTCATCCTAAAGGATGTGAGGTGGCCTCTTATAGGTTTGATTTGCATTTCCCTAATGATTAGTGGTATTGAACATCTTTTCATATGCTTGTTGGCCATTTGTAGATCTTCTCTGGAGAAATCACTACTCAGATTCTTTGCTTAGTTTTTGTTTTGTCTTTTTTGTTGAATTGCAAGAGTTCTTTATATATTCTGGACACAGGTCCCTTATCAGATATAAGATTTGCAAGCATTTTCTCCCAGTTTTTTGATTTGGATGTTTTCTGTCTTTCTTTCTTTCTTTCTTTCTTTCTTTCTTTCTTTCTTTCTTTCTTTCTTTCTTTTCTTTCTTTCTGTCTTTCTTTCTTTCTTTCTTTAATGGAGGGGGTGGAGCAGGGCAGAGGGAGAGGGAGAGAATTTTTTTTTTTTATAAGGTTTTATTTATTTATTTGTCAGAGAGAGAGATGGAGACAGAGAGCAAGTACAAGCAGGGGGAGCTGCAGGCAGAGGGAGAAGCAGGCTCCCCGAGTAGCAAGGAGCCCGATGCGGGACTTGATCCCAGGACTCTCTGATCATGACTTGAGCCGAAGGCAAACACTTAACTGACTGAGCCACTCAGGCATCCTGAGGGAGAGAATCTTAAGCAGGCTCCTCCACCCAGCTCAGAGCCTGAAGTGGGGCTTGATCTCACAACCCTGAGATCATGACCTGAGCCTAAATCAAAAGTCAGATGCTGAACCAACTGGTGCCCTGGGATTGTTACTTACTTGATGGAATTTTTTGTAGCACAAATGTTTTTAGTTTTGATTAAGTTTATTTTAACTGTTTGTCCTTTTGTTACTGTGTTTGATGCCATATCTAAGAACCCACTGCCTGACCAAGGTCATTAAGTCATACTATGTTTTCTTCTAAGAGTTGTAGTGTTAGCTCTACAACCTTACATTTAGTTCTGCAACGTATTTTGAGTTAATTTTTATATATGGTATGAGGTGGGGTCTAACTTCTTTCTTTGCATATGAATATCTACTTGTCCCAGCGCTATTTGTTAAAAAGACTAATCTTTCCCTCTTGAATTGTCTTAGTTGACTTAATTTAGTATGTGGTAGTCCTTAGGGAACTGGGCAGAGGATGCCTTTCTTCAGAAAGGTTTTGCACCTATGAGTGTTCTCAAACTTGGCACACTAATTTTTCACATGGGGTTTCCTCCAACTGCATGAATAATGTTACTTTAAATTCCAGGCTTCCTTGAAAGTAGGCCCTGGGTTGTAGATCGGCAAGGGAAATGATTATTAGTAGTAATAGTGTTATCATTAATGATAATCCTTTTTTTCTCACCTGGAGTGCAGAAGGTTCCTTGTTACTTTTTTCCAACAAGGTTTTCATTGGAGCCTACCATTTCACAGAGAGAGCTCTTCTAGGATCCCAGCTTTAAAGTGAGGGTCATGGGCTCTCACTCCATTTGGTATGTGTCCTAGGCCCCATACTAAGGTTAATTCCCAAACTGTTTGACTTCAGGGTGGCCCCTGCTAACATATTTGCTTATCTCTGTGTTCAGTTGCATGTGTGTGTGGTGTGTATTGTTTTTATCATTGTTGTTAGCTCTGGGATTTAATTTTCCTTACCTTCTCGAGAGCTTAGAGAAGCATTAAATAGGTGTTATAGCCTAGGTGATTTCAGTAGAAGCCTCCCCACCCTTGCCGTGTACACATGGTCAGAGCTGGAGTGGTTGGTCTTGGTCTCAGTGTGTGGTGACATCTCCTATTTTAGGAGGCCTTCAGGATGGGGACTGTGATTGGGAACTTTGGTTACAGAAAGTTCTTTGGTCTTGCAAGGGAATTTATGAGAGACAACCATAAAATTGTCCATTTTGAGGTTGACCAATATGTGTTAGTTGTGAGCCATATATATGTGACTGAGGTACACCTTCCATCGGCTTTCTTATTTCAGGAACAAGGAAAAGTGGACAGTGAAGAATAATAGATAATTAACAGGTACATAATAAACATTAAAGATTTTAAGTTAGATGCTCCCAAATAAGGGGATAATTACATCTTCCAGGACATAAGGTGCATCATTATACAGCAGATAAAAATCCCTGTGTTTACTATAAAATTTGCCATCACAAAAAATATGCTCATGATATCTAACAAACTGCTTCTCGGTGGAGACACTGTTGGCATTCTCAGCAGTACGGTTCTTTATTGTATGGGACTGTCCTGGGTACATGGCCCAGATAAACCAGGACACAACAATCCTGATGCAAGGCGCTAAAAGTCAACAGCACGCAGCCCCCAATCCCAGCCAACCTCCCCCAACATTGTAACAACCAGACCATCCCCTGCATGATCCCAAATGCCTGAAGGGGAAGGGAAAACCCGGATTGAGATCCTCCAACTAATTATGAACCTGGGTCTTTAGGATAGTTTTTTTTCATTTATTGTGAATATAGGATAGTTTTAAAACTTCTATAAGTCCTATATTTTAAGTTAGAGATTTATAAGACATTTCGGATTCTATCTTTTTCATTATCTCCATGGAGAAATTTTTAAAAGACTTTATTATTTGCAAGGCCCTTGTTTGCTGTGTATTTTGTATATGCTATTTTGTTTATTTGTAAGATCCCACTTAGCGGGGCACCTGGGTGGCTCAGTCGTTAAGCGTCTGCCTTCGGCTCAGGTCATGATCCCAGCATTGAGCCCTGCATCGGGCTCCCTGCTCCGCGGGAAGCCTGCTTCTCCCTCTCCCACTCCCCCTGCTTGTGTTCCCTCTCTCGCTGTGTCTCTCTCTGTCAAATAAATAAATAAAATCTTTAAAAAAAAAAACAAGAATCCCACTTAGCTAGATTTTGTTCATTCCCAGACCCTTCTAGGAAATAGAAGAGTCCTGCTGTATGAAAGAGGTTTTGGACGCCTGGGTGGCTCAGTTGGTTAAGCGACTGCCTTCAGCTCAGGTCATGATCCCAGAGTCCTGGGATCGAGCCCCGCATCGGGCTCCCTGCTCCGCGGGAAGCCTGCTTCTCACTCTCACACTCCCCCTGCTTGTGTTCCCTCTCTCGCTGTGTCTCTCTCTGTCAAATAAATAAATAAAATCTTTAAAAAAAAAAACAAGAAAGAGGTTTTAGCTCTAGCTACAGGAATATTCAAAAGTATGTAAGCTTCTAGTCAAATAAATGTACTTATTATACTACCTTCATGGCATAGTCATCCCGCCCTAGCTCGCTTGCTTGCTTGCTTGCTTGCTTGCTTGCTTGATCACCTCCTTCTTACAATGCCCTTCTCCACCTCCTCTCTTTCCATCTTTCAGACGTTTTCCTGGATGAGTCAGATTGTCAAAACCTAAACCTACTCATCAATTTCAACTTCATTTAAAATGGTACAACCAGTTATTATGTGCCTCCTGATGGATGCAATAGGAAGTACATAGCACCAGCTCTGATATATTCCTGCCCCTCCAAAGAAAATGTGAATCAGGCCTACAGATCTAACTACCTTTTCACACAAAGTATGGAAGTAAAGCAACATCTTAAACCATTCCATGTAGATGCAATAAGCCAACAATGTGAGAGATTCTACTGATTCAAATGTTTCTTTAATAAATAAATAGCAATAAAAATTTTTGAAGGGTTTCTGGGGGCTCTTATAGATTCTAGAGACTTAAGGAAACCTATCCTCTAAATGCAATATGTAGATCTAATTTGAATCTTGATTTGAACAGACCAACTGTAAAAAAATAATCACTTTTGAGAAGATTGGGGCAATTTGAAACTTGATCTGGTTATTAGGAAATTATTGTTAATTTTATTAAGTATGATAATGGTATTCTGGTTGGTATGCTTTAAAAAAAAAAGACTGATCTGTTAGCTGCTAAAGTATTTATAGTTAAAGTACATTGATGTTTGGTATTTGCTGTGTAGGATCTGCCTCAAAATACATCAGGGGTGAAAAAAACAGAAGGGAAGAAATAAAACAAGATTTGCAAAGTCATGTTAATTGTTGAAGCAGAGCGATGGGTTCATGGGGGTCATTATCCTACTCTGTATACTTTTGTGAAATGTTTTGAAAATTTTCACAATAAATGAAAAAAATAAAAGTCCTTTCATTTACTAGTAATGCATGGGTTTATTATTTCAGGGATTCGTAACATTCAGGGATGTGGCCATAGAGTTCTCTCAGGAAGAATGGAAGTGCCTGGAACCTGCCCAGAGAGACTTATACAGGGATGTGACTCTGGAGAACTTCAGTAACTTGGTCTCACTAGGTAAGGATGTTGCGTAATGCAGGGCCAGACAGGCAACAAGGCTCCCAGGAACTACAATAATGGAAGGTTGTTATCACCTCTGGTATAGAGGGAAAACTGCCACTGGACCATGGTGAGAGCTGGAGTCATGGAGAAGGGCCCAGCAGCAACTGTAGCCACTTCCAGAACTCCCCGGTCAGAGGAGGGAGGGAGAGGGATAAATACTCTGAACTCTCTCATCCTACCCACTGGCCTCCTGCTGATGCTTTCCATAATGCCAAACCAATGAGAAACCATAGGGCCAGGATAATACAGTCCTTACAGGTAAGCTTTCTGGGGCAGAACCAAGAACAGGGAGGAATGGATTGAGCAGGGAGGAGAGGGCAAATGGAGAATGACCACCATAGTTATCTACTCTAAATAATTCAGGACTAGCCTTCTGGAATTTCTGGTATCTTCATGGTGAATTTCTAGGGAGACTTATAAGTTTCTGGCTGAATTTCTGCTCTCTGCTCCCAAGGGAATTGTTTGTGCTTTATGGAAGGGGAAATGGGTAGTTCCATGGGCACCCGTCTTCCTATCCTTTGGACAAACTTTACTCCTTCCTTCATAATTGTCTCTCTTCCTTGGTGACCAAGGGACTGGGTTTGAATTTTGGAACAGGACAGTCATGCTCCATTTCTTTTCCTGTAAACAGGACTTTCCATTTCTAAGCCAGATGTCATTTCCTTATTGGAGCAAGGGAGAGAACCCTGGATGATTACAAATGGTATGACAGGACCATGGTGTCCAGGTGAGTGAGGGGTGGTCCACTGGGAGAGGTCATTGGGAATAATAGCCAGTGGGCGAGTCAACTGATAGCAGTAGCTTGAGTTATTGTTGAGAAGCTTCCCTCCAAGCCATACCGAAAATTGCCGAACAACAGCCTGAGACATGAAGACATGAAGAGCAAAGATCTTGTCAGCATCTGATCCCAAGGGAACCTTGCCCTTACCCCCATTAATCCCTCTCTTCTTTCTTCTTGCTTGGTTTCCTCCCATTTCAAAAAAGGACATGCTCCCTTCTTCCTCAGTGGCTGCCTTTTTACCTGTACTTTGGATCCTTTTTCCTGCAAGTATCTTCATCCTTTAAAAAATACTTAATTTCTTAAAACAGCTCACTTTACCCAATTCAGCAATTCATTTATTCTCTAAATGTTTGAGAGAGACAGTCACGTAGAATGGCTAAGGGCACTGACTTGGGAATCAGACTGAGTTCAAATCTTGGCTCTGCCAATTACTAGATCTGTGAGTTTAGGTAAATTGCTTAAATTCTCTAGAGTGCTTCAGTTTTATCCTCTGCAAATGAGTTAAAAACAGAGCCTTCCTTATGTAGTTATTATTGTGATTGTTACAGGAATTAATCATATGAAACTGCCCAGAACAGTGGCATGCAGGAGTGACCACTAAGTAAAGATTATCAAGTGTTATTAATTAGCACATGCTGGACGATATTGAAATCTTTGAATACTTAATACTGAATACTTAATCCTTGAATACTTTGAATACCCCCCCAACTTCTCTGTTATTATTATTATTATTATTTACTTTCATCTGGGATTATTTTTCCTCTGTCTAAAGAACACCCTTGGGGCGCCCTGGTTGGCTCAGTCAGTTAAGCGTCTGCCTTCGGCTCAGGTCATGATCCCGGGGTCCTAGGATCGAGCCCCGCATTGGGTTCCCCGCTCCGCCGGAAGCCTGCTTCTCCCTCTCCCACTCCCCCTGCTTGTGTTCCCTCTCTCTCTGTGTCTCTCTCTGTCAAATAAATAAATAAAATCTTTTGA